AGAACTGCAAAGAAAGCTGGACATGCCTTGTTACCTCATAGATCTAAGTTTGGTGTCAAAAAGTGGAATGTTGTACAAATGAGCATTTTTTGCCTTATCAATTGAATTATAGAAGAGGCCTCAGTACTAATTTACGCCAAAAACAACACTAAGGAATCCACCGTGAAGCGTCGAGGCAAGCATTGAACTAGAATCCTTATTACCATGGTCGGTTACTATGGTCGGTATCACTAACTACTTGGCGGTGTGATCTGCTCGCCTTGACAGGCATTAATTTATACAAATAACTGTTTTACACACCGTACAAAGAAGAGGTTCTGTTTTCAGCATTTCATTTAGAACCCGATGTAGGCGGCTCATTTGAACAACTATAGCCTGCGAAACTAATATGATACCCTGACAGTATAATGTATATTTCACTTGGCGTTGTGATCAGTCAGCTTAGAATTCTGGAAAGCCACTTCCGTTTCATTTATTTATCTTTCACCACATAGGCCATTCGTCGTTATTTGCAACTTACTCCGGTGCGCACCCAGCAAAGATCACTTTACGAACACTAGATATGAAAAGTCCCATAGAATATAATCCTTTTCGTTATGAAAATTTGCTCTCTTAGTGGGGGAGTTTGATGCATTTTTGAATGTCAAAAGAGCTCGCAGAATCCTGAGTGAACTGCAGTTGGTCAACCATGCTGATAGTGACAGTGATGACTCAAGACTCGGGCCTGGGTGAGACTTCTCACCAAAACCACTGATTTCAAAAAGATCTGTCGTTTTATTATCACCACTTCTAACGGTGTTGTCGGCTCAATTCTAGTCGGAACAGTGTTTTAAAAATGCTAACACAAGCTTGACATACAGATGATTCGTGAGCATGCGTGATCGATTATGAAGTGGTTACCCATCATCTTTATTCTACGCCTCACAACTTCGTAGATTCCTGAGTTGCCTAACTCGTTAATATTGATTACCTAGAAGTACCTGAAGCAGTTGTTATAATCGTTTTGTCGAGCGGATTGAAAATGAATCAAGAAAAAACCACTTTATAGTAAACTTAATGCTCAAAAAGCGAGTAGATATCGTTGACGTATCCATTATCGTATCGTCAAGTGAGTCGAGTGTTATTGCTATAAAGACTTAGAAAAATATACAAAATATACCTAATTTCGTCTGAATATACGTTGTACTTCGCCCGCTATTTGCTGATCTATCAGTTACATCATCTATCTCAACCTTGATATTTTGACATGTTTTCACACTTCAATTTCAAAATTTTATTTTCAAGCTTTCGTACCCTGCGTTAAGAATCTGAAGCATTTCACTGATTGTCTTCTTCAAAAAATATGTGGTAGTACTCAGTCCTTGATTGAAAACAGTCATCACTTTTGCTACGAAATCGATCCAGAAGCATTTTTTGTACTTTTTCAGATGCCTTGATGAGAAGGAATCAGCGTGAGTGAGTGCAATCTTTGATTGTAGGAGAAATGTGAAGATCTTTCTTAGAGAATGTCTGGGAATTCTAATCATCGAGCAAAAACCTTTCTGTTGATAAAAGGAGCACAAATGGTGCTGAAATACTTCATATCTTACAGAATTTTTGAGCAGTCCGTTAATCCTTTCATCAGAAAGTTGCTTGCTTAACCATCCATCGAATTCGTCTTCCCAATGGAACTCGGCTTTCGGTTGATAGAGTAATCCTAGAAAAATTGCATTAGCTTACGATAGATATAGCGAAGATAGTGTATCAGTATTATTATAACGAAAAGTGAGAACCGCACATACGTTCTGTAGCTCTCTTTCTTTCTCCTCCAACCATGCAACGTCGTTTGCTCTGAACGCACAAATGATTTCTTCAATTTCCCTGAGACGAACAATTTAAGTAGGGGAAAATATGAGGTCTCATGATGCGCATATTTCACAATTCTTCAACTTATCAAAATGGATTGAGCGATGTCACAGATTTACATTACTAATGCCTTTTCGAGGTTGTTACATCGGAGACATACGTACCCTTCGGCGGCGTATCCCACGCCTAACACCGAATCTTTGTATATATATATATATATGTATGTATATATATATATGTATGTATATATATATATAAACATGTATACATATACATATATATATATATATATATAAATATGTGAGACATTATTTATAACAAAGATGTTGAGATGGTAATAACACATAAAATCACGCTATCATCATTTTCTTAGTCGATGAATTATGGCTCGTGGTGAGCATGTAGAAGTTCATCTCAACAACTGTTTTTAAGAGCGCGTTTTCAACAATGTTTAAAGCGAGGCTTAATAAACAGCTGATGAGACGGATTTTCGACCTTTCAGTCGAGAGGCTAAGCAACACTTGAGTGCGTACTGGTTAGGAGGTATAACGTAATCTAAGAACAACCCCATACTCATGATAAGATAACAGTGAATTGAGGCCATGGATTTTTGTGCTTGCGTGACCAGGTGTAGACTTGATATATCGCCTTTTTCTACAGACTTCATACTCGAATACAAATTAATGAATACGTTTGCGAATGACTAGATTGTATTTCACACATCAGTTTGGCGAAATGCCTGATCAGGAGATTGGGATCAAGAAGAAATCGGCAGAGTCGCTATTCTTAGTGGTGATATCGAGTTTTAGCCAGTAAAAGTCCCTCCCATCTCTCTTGATTATCTTTCCTAACTAATGAATACATGATAACAAGTACATGATAAAAGAGCAAGTTTTTGAAAAAAGCTATGCTACCTTGTAGTATCGTCTTCACCAGAATGATTAGTGGTGATATGGAGGCGTTTGATAGATGGTAAGCATGTGTTTACCTGTAAATGCTACTTGGAAAATGGTTTAATAGTGTGCTTATTAACAAATTCACTAACTAAAATTTTCAATGACACCTGAAACTTACTAAGTATTTAAGAAAATGAACAAATGAATGCACAGGTTGGAATGTCATTACTTCTTCCTGGCAACTTGAATTCAGTTCACTGAGAAAACTAAGAAGTACTAGAGCACTGTGAAATACAAAAGTGACCACTAATCGTGTTCAGTTTTTCTTCGTGGAAATCGATGAGATCTACAGTTTCAGTGCATGAATGGTCTCAAAATTAGTTAAATTAACAAAAAGTATTACTTATCAAAACTAATAATCCTCGTCAACCTACAAAAAAAATTGTTGTTCATCAACAATCCCAGGATTTCACTTAGATAATAAGAAGGACCTCGTCGATATCGAAAGCTCTGTCGTCACTCAAGTCAGTAATGATCTCCTGCACAAAAAAACAATTAATTGATCTGGTCAATTTTGGCGTAATTTTTGTGTGCCATAAGATGCTACTTTACAACATAGTGCGAGATCCCGAGCGAGCTGTTCTTAGATTTTAGAGCGAAATATGATTATGTAATTGAACGTTGTAAATGTTGTTCTTGTTCATTCTTTTGTTTTTGTCATAAAGATCTTTTTTCAGCACTGAGCAGAACAACACAGCATAAATGGAATTTATATAATTGATCGCTTCTTGCGATGCTATGATCTTGCAATATACCCAATAAAGTGGAGTGCCGTGTAAAAACGTTTGCGTCAGCCAGGATTCAAACCCGGATCTCACTCTTTCCGGGAGCGTATGCTAATCGTTGCACCATCGATGCTCGTTTTGCACAGCACACGCATTATTGGGTATGTTGCAAGATCATACCACCGCAAGAAGCGGTCAAATAAATAAATTCCGATAGATTATAGATACCCAACATCTGTCGGCACAAGTGGGTTTCATGCCGATAGCGGCTGCCCCACCAGACCATAGACGGTTGGCTGCTGAAAGATAACGTGTTGTAGCATAAAAAGTGCTCTGCAAAACGAGCGTCAGTGGTGCAACGGTTAGCATACGCTTCCGGAAAAGTGAGAACTGGGTTCAAATCCCGGCTGACTTGAATGTTTTTGCACAGCACTCCACATTAATAGGTATGCAGCATAAATGTTCAAACAAGGTCTGCAAGACAACTTCAAGTAGTTATTCATTTTCCGCACATGAACAACGAAATAAGAAAAGAACCTGTATAAGGGCGCTAGCAGAGAATTACATAGTATGCAACTTAATACATAAAACATATAGTATTTGATAGATGACATTATCGAATGTACGGTTTTGATACGTATGGTATGACTATGCTACTAGTTCGCCGTCATATCTAACAGTCATCTTCAAGGCTATCTTGAGTATGCATGCATTATTGCCGATGACATTTGAACACAACGCAACACGAGAAAAAATTGAGATAGCGATTATACTTACGAGGACTTGCATTTTGTGCTATAATTATGCTATTCGAACAGATTTCATGCAGGAGTTATAGCCAGTTTAAGATGCTGCACGTTTGTAGAGGATAAATGAACAACAATCGGCAAAGCTCCATTTACTCCATAAGCACCATGGCAAGCTCTCGAACAAACTAGTGGTCCACAGTTTTACCACATTTTGTTGGACTTGCAATATCTCTCGGCCTAGTTTCCTGTGCTGGACTTGTTGCATCTTTTTCTTGCGGTGAAGGTGCCGGTTTTTTTTTTCGTCAAAATTAGCATTATAATTTCTTCGAATGCCTAAAAGATGTACCAACAAACAGAAAGACGGAAAACAGAATGATTAACTGCCAGATGCTAGAAGAAGCAGACATCTAAATGAAATCGAATCCTTCAAAATTAATGACAAAGCTGACATATCCAGCGTAGGGAATATGTTAGTTCATCACTGGTAGCATGACCTTCATACATATGAGCATTGAGTGGTGGACAAAAATACAATCTCAGACGGTAGTTGATCCCTCGTTTTACCCATACCAGGGGCGCGTGTTACCTTTACATCACCTAGACCACGGCTTACCCTTCACTAATTCCTCAAGATTTCTCTCATAGCCAGTAAGGTTAACAGTTAGCAGTTTGCGACTGATAGCTATGATAGCGAGGTATTGGAGAATTAGTGGGGGTAAGCAGTGGTCTTGGTAGTGTAGTGGTAACACGCGCTCCGGTATGGACGGAATGCAGGTTCAACTCCCGTCTGAGGTCAGGTATCTGCTCGTCACTCAGTTCTCTTAGGTATATTTGAGATATCATGACGATGCAAAAAGTGCATTTAAACATGGGAAATCTTAAGGATTATATGTTCGCTATTTGAACATCCAACAACCCACATCGGACGACTACTGTTGAAACGATGTGGCTCAGCGCCGGCTTTGACCATCTTCGTTGCTTACGCACCAGCATAAGCTATCACGAGACGAAGTCGAAGCGGTCTATATGGACCTTGAAAACTTCTTCAGAAAAAGCCATGGATTCATTGGAGGTCACTGATGAAGATTTTAACGCAAAAATTGGACCAAGAAGGACGTTTGAAGAACGTCACATTGGGACCCATGGAATAGAATGGAGCGAGCAGGGAGAGAGGCTATCTGAGTTTATCATGACGACTCAATCCATCCATGGTAGCTCACAATTCCAAGAGCCCCAGTCTCAACGGTGGACGCGGAAGTCTCCCATTGGAGAGTGCTATAACGAAACAGACTACATCTTAGTAAATCGAAGATTTTGCTTGACCGATGTCGCTGTTGTTCTTAAGTTCTACACGGAATCAGACCATCGCCTCCTTCGCGCAACGTTCTGTTTTTCGAGGAGAGGAGAGAAAGCCGCTGAATTCAAACAACGAAGTCCTAGAGCTATCATAAACTGTGATGTATTTCAAGTCATTAGTCTTCTCTTGGGATGATACCGTTGTCGACAACATCGGTGAAGAATACGACTGGCTTGTAGAATATCTTCACGACGGCGCTATGAAAGCCGAGACTCCTATAGTCACGAAGAGGCCCTCGTCTCCACAGACGCTCGAGCTGATACGTTAACGCGGAATCGTACGAGCTACAAGCATCGGAATCCTTAAGTCCGAACTTGCGAAACGCTGCAGAAGAGCGAAAAGAGAAGACTCCAAAGAGAGACCAGCAGCAGTTATGGCAGAAGCTGGAGAAGCAGCGAAGAGCAATTGCAACGCAGAGCGAGGCTTCGCCAATTATAAGTTCATGATGATTGCTCGCCGATGCCCTGACGGGACACTTACAGCTTCCAGAAGGGCAATGGAAAAAATCACCCACCAATTCCACTCGAATCTCTTCGCTATCCCTGTCTGCATACCGTTATATAAAATAGGAAAGAGAATGAATCTGTCGTTTTCACTAGTACTCCTTTCAAAATCCGACATGCTATTCGTCGGTGAAGAATAGAACAGCACCAGGTCCAGAAAGGACTAGATCAAAGCATCTAAAGAACCCACCGCCAGTTCTTATCAACACCTTGGCTCGGCTTTTCACTGCCTGCCTATCAGAATGCAAAGTTCCCATTCAATAGAAAATGAGTAAAACCTTATTGTTATTCAGAAAAAGAGACCTTCACGGCATAGGCAATCACCTCTCAATCCGCTTGCTGTTCGCTGTCGATAAACTCTTCACTCGAATTACCCTAAACACGACTCACAGAACACTGGGCGAAGAGCAGCCAGGCGAGAAAGCAGGGTAAAAGGACTCAGTGCTACAGACCACATCCACACGATTGAAAGACTCACTGGAGTTCCGCGAGAGTACAAACTGCCGCTTTGTCGCACTTTCATCGATCTGAAGAAAGCCTTTGATTCAGCGGAAGCAGAAGCGGTTATAGAGGCGCTGGATAACTAGGGCGTCCCTACTCGGTGCGTAACAATCCTTCGTGAGCTGCATAAAGGTTTCACAACCAATTTTTCTCCATTCTGCAACATTATCACAATCGGCGTAAGAAGATGGTTTTGACAAGGTAATACAATTTCGACAAAAACTATTCACTGCCACCTTACAAAACGTCATGCGAACATTAGAACGGGACGATATGGTAGTGAAAATTGACGGTCGACAATCAAACCATCTTCGCTTTGCTGACGATATCGTTCTCATAACACCAAACATCAGTTAAGCGGAACGAATGTTGACCGATTTCGATAACGCCTGTGGAAAGATTCGTCTTCAACTAAATCTAACGAAGACAATGTTCATAAGGAACGGATGGGTTTCGAATGCCCCATTCACGCTCAACGGAACGACAATCTCCGAATGCTCCAGTTACGTCTATCTAGGTCGTGAAATCAACATGATGAACGACCTAGCTCCAGAGTTGAGCAGGAGGAAACGAGCGGCTTGGGGAACGTTCAAGTGCATCGAAGATGTAGTGAAGAAAACAAAGAACATCCGACTCCGTTCCCACCTTTTCGACTCGACGATTATCCCTGCCCTAGCGTATGGAGCAGAAACCTGGTCGCTACGTAAGCAGGATTGAAGATCACTTGGCGTTATCGAGTGCGCAGTCGAAAGGTCGATGCTAGGAGTATCCCGTATCTCGCAAATGAAAGAGAGGATCCGAAGTTCCGACCTATGTCAACGATCGTAAATCAGAGACGCCGTTCTACACGTCAAGAGATCGAAAATAAAGTGGGCCGGACACGTGATGCGCTTCAACGACAACCGATGAACGAGAGCCGCTAGCGACTAGATTCCTCGGGACGTCAAGCGCTCGAAAGGAAGACCATTGACCCGTTAGGTCCGATTTCTTCACGAAAGCGATAGAAGAAAGGTATGATGCTCAGCGAATCCCTAGAGCGAGGACAACCCACTGGGCTAATCTAGCACGTGAAAGGGAAATATAGAAGAATTGCTGGTACTCGTTCGAGTCACACGACGATCAACGGGACAACAGCTGATACAGGTGAAATGCGCAAGAGGTAAACGTTTCAAATGATATGAAAATCATACACGATTCATGTGAAAAAACGACATTGCCCTGCAAGCAATGCAAATTTTCCTTCCAACCAAATATTGTAAACTAACTTGTTTCAAGTCGCAAGTATCTACGGATTAGTGGAACATTTCAAAGAGATTGGAGGAGATTGTATGCAGTCCTCGAAAAGGTCTTCTAACCACTTTGTCTTGACGGAAGATCATTCAGAAGATTCGTTTCCGAATTCGACAAAATTTGGAGCGTTTGAAAGCGCAAAATGGCTCGAGAAGCTTAGGAGCAGCGAGTGGAGCATCCGAAACACTGTCAAAAATAAGGATATGCTGCATAGGAGTGTGTAGGAGCAAAATTATAAACCGCAGTCAGTTTGCGGCTTCTGCATAAGCATCGCGATCGAATACAATGCGCGACATACGATAGCTAAGTTCACTGTTCATATTGTGGTGTTGGGCAGTGATCAACATACGGCTAAGAGAAAGTACAGCGAAAACATCAGTGAGTAGTGGGGAACTCAGTAAGCCCCGATAAATGATAACTGCATGCTCGAAGTCGCCTCGGGCTTCAAGTTTTGCTTGCATCTCATCACTGTTGCGTATTGCGATGCCGTCATAAGTATGCCATTGTTTGATCCGAAAAGGGCTTTTCACATACGAGAGGTATCTACATCTGAAAATACCAAACTGCTATGCACCAAGTGATTCGGTCGAGAGCAAATATTTGAGTAATGTCAGGGTTTCTTGCGAGAAATTCCCAGACCTGGTCTGTCACTTACATATTCGGTGTTCTTTATTCCATTTCACAACTAGTTTAGACATTTCATCGGTCTCACCCAACTGAACCTCATGTAGGAACGATGCCAGGGGGGCCTATGAGTCCTGGTCCGCCTCTTGCTCTATTGCTGCCTTCCCGAACACACATTTCGGGAAGGCGGTGCAAACTTGAAACAATCCGGAGTGAGCGTCGCTCTGCGATGCCTACGGATCTCTACAAGACCGCCACTAAGGCTCTATCCGCGTGTTTTTTGGCGGCATCACTCCTCGTCTCTGCTGCCAAGTGTTGTAGCGTCGTATTACACACGAATTTGCAAATCTGCGCTATCACAAGTATTAACGTACATTTCAACGTGAATGGACGCACAGACGTGTATCTACTAATCATTTATAGTTTATGTTGACATTCTCGTGCCTATACACGCTATTTCAAAAATATTATATACTGTACTACTACTACTACCACTATACTACATATACATCTACTATATTATACGTTGTTGGCCTTGTTTCAAAGTAAGTGGATTGTTTGATTAAGTCGCTTGGTGCCCTTGTTTAGGCTCTTACTGCACGAAGTTTTCTTTTTTTGCATATTGCATTTTGATCGTCCATTCCACTCGTGTGACCCATATGTTTCGCGGACGGCTAAAAGATTACTGAGTTTCACGCTCGGCGCCGTGTCGATGGCGCGTCGAGTGAAAACTCAGCATTCTTTTAGCTGTAGCAACGCACTAAGATGTCTTCAACAAAAACTATGCATTTCCTTAAGATTATTTGGACACCGCTATCGAAAAGGGTTTGAAAGCTTGAGAGAAAAGTCGTGTTTAGCGAAAAATACTTAGTTGTGCAACACAGTTTTGCTATTGTTGCTGCAGTTAGCAATGAGACCTTTTTTTTCAAAAGGCAAGTACACCACTAAAATTTTCGAGATTTGAGCTATCGATTGGTAATTGAACGCGATGGTTTGATGCCTATGTTGCAGTATTCATGTTATGTTAGCAGCCTAGTATGG